GAAATATATTATCACATTGTATCCTACTTACTTGATCAGCATCTTCCATTCGCTCAATTTTGGGAAGAGATTGAATCCACATGAGCAGGGGAATGAGAAAGGCTAATGTTTTACCGGAACCAGTCTCAGCAACACCAATAATGTCTCTGTTCTGCAGACCAATAGTGATAGCTTGACGCTGGATGGGGGTAGGATCCTTGTATCCCACCTTATCAATGATTTCAAGAATTTCAGGTGGGATTGTGGACTCTTTCCAGCTACGAATAGGATCTGGGATACGTCCGCCTTTGATAGTAATATTGTAATCTTCCCTGAATATACGCCAATCTCTCTCGGTCATTTCATCACAAGCCTTATCAGACCAGTGGCGGTCATCCCAACGCTGCTTGTCTTCTCGCTTTTTCACCTTTTTCAACCTTACTTTCTCCTGTTCCTTTTCTGCCTCTGTTCGCCTCTTTTCCAACAGTTCACCATAGAACTTTGATTGATCTCTTTTCTGTGCCTTAATATCAATACCAGCTACATTGCCTCTTCCAAAGAATTGAACCTATAAAAATAAGAAAAAACCAGAATGTAGGGAAATCCTACAAGGGAAGAAAAGCAATACATAATTGAAGTACTCAAGTAATTTACCTGATGACGCTCCTTGTAAATATTGTTGTAATCAACAGAAGTGTCCTCAGATGCATCCCAGTCAAACACAAATTTTCTGTCATTAAGCCGTCTAACTCTCCTCTTTTTCTTCATCAATCCAAGATAGCGCTCTTTGATAGCTTCTTGCTCCTTCTCTCGATCTTTTGTTGATGGTACACCATCATCATCTCTGTCACCTCTACGCCCATCTCTATCTCTCTGATCTCTGTCTCGGCCACGGTCGTGATCATTTCGATTTCGATCTCGGCCTCTGTCACCATACCTGGGTCTATCACCAAATCTTCCCCTGTCATCATCCCGCTGCCTGAGAAAAAAAATTTAAAAACCATTAATATTAACTCATTTAGTACCAATTTTGGAAACATTAGTCATTAGTTACTTAAATTATAGACGCAAAAAATTACCTATCTCTATCATCATAACGACCACGGTGAGGAGGTGGTACAAAAGAGTTTGGAGCAGAAGGTGCACCACCTTCTTGCACTAACTTGCTGAACTCAAGGCGCTTTTGTCTTTCCTCTTCTTGCCTCTTTCGTATTTCATCAGCTTCCTCTTGCCTTTTACGGAGGGCCTCAGCAGCACGTTCCTCCTTTGTTAAGAATTTTGGCTGTAACAAAAATAAGAGAAGGTGATATTTATATGCAGCATGGAGCATGATCTATGTAATTGAATACATGTGTTAGTACATATATATATGTATATCTAGTATATTATATATATATATCTAGTAAGTTACCCTGTTGCGAGCCTCCTCTTCAGCTTTTTTCTTGGCTAATAACTCTTCTAAAGACAAAGGTTCTTTTCGTACAGGTTTAGTTTCTTCCTCTTCTATTTCTTTTTTGGGATCTTTCTCAGAATCCTCTTTTTTAAGTTCCTTTTTCACATCCTTACCACTAAAATGAGAAAAGTAAGAATTATAAGAGATTAACCCAATAAATTAGAAATGACAGACACAAGAAAAATAAACTTACGGAGATGGTTTTCGATCACGAGGGCGATTTTTGTCTCTATCCCTAGTATCCTTGTTATCTCGAGCATCCCTGATTCTGTCTCTATCCCTGCTGCGGCTGCGAGATCGCTTTCTCACATCTTCTTTATCACGTACTCTGTCACGGGACCTACTACGACTTCTTCGAGGTTTGTCCCTCTCCCTGTCTCTGGCCTCTCTATCTTTCCTATCTCTGTCTTTCTCCTTTTCACGGTCCCTTTCTTTGACTCTATCAACTTTGTCAGTCCTTTCACGACTTCTGCTGCGACGCTGTTCTTTCCTGTCACCAGCCATGGTTAAGAAAATATCTGTAAATAAGGGGGAAAATTAAAACATGTAGTAAGAAAACAATGGGCTAGCTTGGAACATTAAATTTGGGACCATAGATTAAGGAATGAGTACAAAATTTTATACAGCTGTAAATAAGAGTGGAAGTACCCCAATTAAATACGAGCTTAACAAGTTGTGAATAAGAATTATTTATTTTTATTTTTAATGATCAAGTTCAACATAAACATAACCCCAATGGAAGAAAGGATACAACAACAGTGACTGAATAAGGTAGTGACGTGAGTTACTTACTTCTAGATCTTCAGTTCATCAAGCCCAAGGGGTTGTTACACCATGTTCAGCACATTTGCAGTACAACTTTCAGTAACAACTCAAATCGTTGTGAAAACGAATCAAACTAAGAAATCAGGTTTTCAGTTTACAACACCCCGAAATCGAACACCGGGCACAGAGGGTACATTCGTGAAGAAACCTGCCCGCGATGTACGAATAGAACGTATCCTTACGAATGTCACCTGTTTACGTTTATGATGGCGGCTGTACAGTTATGTCCTTTTTGTTGAATTTCAGTTAATTAGTCCATTGAAATTGCTTTGGCTGTCCTGGAGAATCTTTAAAAAACACAGACTCATTAGGGCGGACAGCTTTCACTCTCTGTCGTTGCTGCGGGAGCGAGAACTTTGTACTCTTCATGTATTGACAGATGAAATGAGATGTCCAACCTGGCAGAAATGGCTTTGCCGACCACAATATTTACCTTTGTAAAATATGTCAAAACAGAATTTGCGTTGACCGGTGATGCATCTCTTTGAACTGAACCAATATCCTGTGCCCGTCGGCAGTATGGAAGGCATCGGAGACGCGTTTGAGGAAGGAAGACCATCATTTTGGAAAAAGACCAGTAAGGCTGTTCCGGGACGACCTAGCCCAAAACGAGACTTGAAAAGCAACTCTTTCAAAAGTTCTTCCACATCTACATCATTTCAAGACTTCCAAGAGAGTGTCAACGATGCCTGGGATCTTGCTGATGATGACATTTGCGGATCAACTGGTGTTACCATATCCAGTCGTGTCTCGCAGTCAGCTGCATTGAGTGTTATCAACAATCATCGCAACACTGCTGGGGTGGATGATGAGCGCCCAACACAGCCGCCAATTTTATCTGAACAGAAGAAGACTGAAGCTATTCAACGTTTAGCATTGTTACAAAATACGCAAGCTGCACCTACGTCCATGGCTCAACACATCCCTCATCATGCACGGCAATTTCCTGGGAGACCACAACCGCTTCGAGGACTACCCAGCTCTGGCTCCAGAGAAGGAGAAGAGTCAAGTAAACTAGAGCGCTTTCAACCTTTACTTGAAAGCACTCTGCTAAATTTAGAAGATCTTCGTCAATTAAGTTGGTCAGGTATTCCTGTCAAAGTTCGTGCCATCACATGGAGACTCTTATCAGGATATGTTCCAGCAAATTTAGAACGAAGACAACAGGTTTTGGAGCAGAAACGTCAAGATTATTGGAACCTTGTGAAGCAGTACTTTGACACTGATCGAGATGAAGCTTATGAAGATACATATCGTCAAATCCACATTGATATTCCTCGAATGAGCCCTCTTATTGCTTTGTTTCAACAGCAAACTGTTCAAGAAATGTTTGAGCGCATATTGTACATTTGGGCCATCAGACATCCTGCCTCAGGATATGTGCAGGGAATGAACGATCTTGTTACCCCATTTTATATTGTTTTTCTACAAGAGGCGATTCCATCTGATTGTGATTTGGATACTTTTGATGTTGCTCGGCTATCTAAGGAACAAAGAGATATCATTGAAGCAGATTCTTTTTGGTGTTTGTCCAAGTTTCTTGATGGAATTCAAGACAATTATATATTTGCTCAGCTAGGTATTCAGAGAAAAGTTAATCAGCTTAAGGAACTGATTCAGAGAATAGACACTCAACTTCATCGTCATTTACAACAGCATGGTGTTGACTATCTACAGTTTTCCTTTAGATGGATGAACAACCTTTTGACACGTGAATTGCCTCTCTATTGCACAATTCGACTCTGGGACACATATCTAGCAGAATCTGATGGGTTTGCTTCTTTCCAGCTTTATGTTTGTGCAGCTTTTCTCATGCATTGGCGGCAAGAATTACTCCAAGAAAGAGATTTTCAAGGCCTCATGTTGATGCTCCAGAATCTCCCGACCCAACGTTGGACTGATTCTGAAATAAGTATTGTAGTTGCAGAGGCGTATCGTCTTAAATTTACCTTTGCAGATGCTCCAAATCATCTGCAAAGTGGTGACAGGTGATGTTACTGAACTGATCTTCCATGCCTCTATTTTAGAATTTTGTGATGATGTGATTGGCATTGTTATTTTGTTCTCTAAAATGTTTATAGGGCCATTCTTAAACAAATATTATTTTGAGGGCCCACTGTTGAATTTAATTCTTGATTTATTTACAGAGTGTACATTTGTTTTGTCTGGTTTATTGTATGAAATTGGTAGCTAGATCATATCTTCACATTTTTAACATTAAAGTCACAAGCATAATACTTGGCTGTGGGGGGATGTGAAACTGTAAACTAGTATCAAAAGGTTGTATGTTCCATTTAAAAATTTGAAAAGTTAATCCTACTTTAGGTGGATAGAGTTCTACAAATATGTATGTGGTCTGATGTCACAAACTGTCTCTATTGTTTCTGTGTTTGTGTGTGTGTGTGGCTAGTTCAAGGAATTAAATTTGATATTGTTCTGTACGTGAGAGCCGATGTCATATGTTATCTGTGATAAGTTCAAAACAGCATTGTGCATCACAGTTCGAATATTTCCGACAATTCCTAGTTTAATTTACACCTTGTAAGTACCAGTTAATTTGCCAGTTGACATACAGTGTCTAAGTGATATGGTACTTAGAAATACTTCTCAACTGAATTCTTTGGAAGGACTTCACTTGTTAAGTATTCTCATGTGTACACCTACTTACTAAATAGTACCATTGCCAATATCTTACATTTGTTTATTAATGTTTGTAATGAAAGCATAAAAACTCTTATTCTGAGAATTTCATGTAATGTCGTATGTGCCACACCAAATGGTTGTGTTACAAAGTGCCCTCAATGTTATGAAACTGAAAATCTTCCTTACTAAGAAGTGCTTATGTTTGAGGTTTATATATTTTGTGTTCAAGGAATTAATTTTCTCTTGTCTTATAATCTAAAAACTTTATTGTCATTTGCATTAGAATTTCGAAGTCTATTTGAAAATATTGCATCTGTTGGGTATTGTTAGAATTGGACCAATATAACGGTACCAAATGTATAGAAAGAAATCCATATCGTCAAATTACGAAATGTGTACATAGAGAGAAACATGGTTACTGCATACATACATACATGCATATTATAGACTTTGGGTGTTTTGTTCTTGTAATCGGACTGAATCCATCAATTTTAAACTGTAGCATGAGATATGAAGCACAAATGCTACTCATCTTACGGTTTTACTGCTTTCATTGTCGATTGGATTTGTGGGGAATAGTGTTCATCCATTTGCATGAAGCATTTCTTTATCTTTTATTTTCAATGTAAATGCAATTATTCTTTAGTAGTCCTTTTTTGATTTGGATCATCTGGAGTTGAAAACTTGTCATTCACTTTTTAAAGTGGAAGTAATATGAGCTGGATATCGTATGTTTGGAGTATTAAACTGGTGATATTTTAATACAAATTAAAATTTTAAAAAATATTGCTCATGAAAATTGTTTTAACACACCCTATTTCCATTTCCATATACACCATATATTTGACCGTGCCGCTCTTTGACCTCTGTGACCCCTCAGCAAGCATGCCAACATCACTCACTGAAAGTTAAAAGAACTTAACTTCTGATAATTACTACATCTTCCCTGAAAAATTGCAGAACTGTTTAAGAGAAAAGTGAATGAAGTTTCAGTATCAGGGAGATAAGAACAAGCCAAATATTGTCCTGGAAGACTTTTAAATTTTGAAAAGAACTTCGCGAGGGTAAGGTTGCCGACAGCATTGTAACTGATCAACAAGCGAAAATTTGCGCCAAAATTAGATCAAGACTTCAGGAGGCTCTGCTGTGTTTAATTTTGTACCCTTCGATTCCGAAAGATTAATGTGCGTACACTAACTCATAGATCTCTTTATTTTGTCCTATCAATTATTTCTGATGTAGATTTGAATAACGTCAATCTCGTTTACCATAGTTTAGAATGGGTTTTTTGTTGGTGCATTTAATCCATTTAACCTAGCTTTCTGGGTAACATTTTACTGGAGACTACATAAATTTATTTTGTTGTTATTTCAAGTTTTATATCTACCAAAAATTTATCTTCCATTTAATTTACCTATAGGTTTGGGGAAAACCAGTCGCGTAATTATCTTTTCTTCATAGAGAACTAGTTCTGGTCCAATCGTCGCTTCAACTTATTTTGTTGTCCATTCATATCTACAAAGATCAGTGTAAATTATTTAGATTGAAATTTGTAGAACAAGCATAATTCACCAATTTTTAGAATCTCAGTATAAATTGTTTCATTTAAAGTCCTTTGATTCCTTTTGTTTTTGTTATGAACAAGTCTTCCGTAACTTTTACATAGTTTGACACTATTCAAATGTATCATAATGGGCTATTTGGAACGCATACATTTGACTCTAGACTCTTTTACTTCTATGATTTTTGCCTTATCAATCACCATTTCATACCTCCACCACTAATCCCCGTTTCTAATTACCCACCCCTGCAGCGCTCATATGAAGCTGAGGACACGAGGCCTACCGCCGCCGCGCCGGGCGGCGGCTCAGCAAGCTCAGCAAGCTGCTGACTCAGACGTGGAGGAGCAGGAGACACCTTTGGCGCTGCGTCGGCAGTCCAGGAGATCTGTGGCCCCCAGGCTTGTTGCCGAGACTCCCGCCCCCGCCCGCGCACGCGCCGCCCCCAAGGCGCCAAAGGGGGGCGTGCAGAAGCGAAAGGTGACCCGCCCCCGCGCGCGCCCCGCGGCCGCCAGGACCAGGCGAGCGCGGCCGGCCACCCCCGACGACGAGCCAGCGCCGATCCTGAAGGAGGTAAAGGAGGACTTCGAGGAGGAGGGGGCTGATGCTGACGAGGTAGATAAAGACAGCAAGCTTGGCGGCGACGAGGATGAGAAGGCGGATAAAGAGAAGCGCATCGCCACCATTGACGACCTCCCCGAGGAAGTGATGCTGGGCATCTTCTCGTACTTCCGGCCGCCGCAGCTGTGCTGGAAGATTGGGCGCGTGTGCCAGCGGTGGGCGTCCTGGAGCGTGGCGCCGCTCCTATGGAGGAGCAAGGAGTACATCCTCAGCCCGCACCCCAACCTCAGCTCTCGGCGAAACAAGTAGAATTTTGCCCACCCTACCACCCTACCCAATAAGCACGCCCTATACCCATTTACGTGTACTGGTTGATAACTGTGTACCGCGTTGGGAGGGGAGTGTGTGTTCATACTGTACCTGTGCTCTTAATTCTGAAACGTAGTCTTACGTTGTTTACTGCACAGTGTGAATTTTGTTTGAGTTTTCCCACCCCTCAACTAATTGTCATGACTTTGTAATTATTGCATTATGAATGAGATCTCGTGTTTGTGATACTATTTAATGTGTGTGTTTTATCACTTATTTATTTTTCTAGTTTTAAGGTGTTTTACCAGTTGTGACTATGCGCAATGTTTGTAAAATTGACTTTTTCAGAGGTTGTGAATGATTTTTGCTCATCGATGAAATTGTGTCGCGTCTCATTGGCGGCGAATGTCTCTGACGACAATAAATTATGTGTGGTCATATTTTAATTGCGCGTCGTTACTGTTCCGCCCTCGCCGACCCACACACACGCAACGAACACGGCACTGCATCGTGAGAATTCCCTCCCATGCCTCGCCACGGTCGGTCTCGGTGCAAAGCAATGCAAATTACCATTTGCAAGGACTTACTGTTCGCAGAACACAGTCTCACGTTTCTCTCGCGAGCCTAGCTGGTTCCGGGACGCCTCCTGTCCGCCTTGTCGCCTCTGGCCCAGGACCAAGTTTGGCCCCATCGCGAAGTCTTTTTATTATCTTTTTGTCGAGTCAATGGGCGGGCCACGCGGCGGTGGTGCTGCCTACATGCTGAGCAGCACCGTTAATGTTTAGCGCCTTGCCGCCAGTCAAGTGCCAGGCGAGCAGAATGGTTAAAGCCGCTATACACAGTCTGTGGGGTAGTATATCGTACTATGAGAACACCCGTCAAATTTTGCAGCGAAACCGGCTGATCTCATTTCTAGATCACAAGTTGGGCCTGTGCGTCATCTCGCTGAAGTCCGTCACAAAAAGCGAGCCATGCAAAGCGCCGCCAGGGAAGGCGCGCGCGGGGCGGGGCCGGGGGCAGTGCCCCGCGGGGGGGAGTGGCGCGGACCTCGGTGCCCGGGGGCGCGGCCGCGCACCGGCCGGCTGGCTCTGGGCCGTGCTGTACTGGG